ATAATCATCCCCAACCCTTGGGGGTTTTCCCCTCCCTTCCTCCTGCTTGGTTCAAAGCAGGAGGATTTGGTCATTGGGATGCAACCACCCCAGGGTGAGGGCGATGCCAGGCTGCAGCACATCGGGTGCCACCCTGTTCCTGTCCTCCAATCAGAGCTCCCAAGGATGGGGACACAACATTCCCTGCTCTGGAGAGGTTCTGGGGGGAGTCCGTGGGGCAGCATAGGAGCATCTCCTGGAGGTCTCTGTGGTGCCCATGGGACAATGCTGGGTATCCCGGCCCCCACATCCCAATTAGCACCAGATGAGGCCGTGTTTTGATGACTCCTTGCTTTTCCTGCCAGCATCTCTGAGCGGTTCCTGTTGTTCTCAGCAGCTCTGGGGCCCTGCCTCCCCCCCCCACCCCCCCCCATCCTCTTTGCAGAGCGTGGGTTTGCTGGAGTGGGGATGGGGCCGTGGGGAGGGCTCAGGGGTCCCGAACTGGGGAGGAGAGTTGCAGGGCGGGAGGCTCGGAAGCGGGTGAGCAATTACTCACCCTGGAAACGGCCGCTGGGACCTGAAGGGAAATGGGGGAAATTCTCTGACTAAACGCTTTTTCCAGCAGAAAAATGGCGCTGCTCTGGGACAAGGAAGGGCTGCTTCAGTGGGGTCACCCCTCACCTCTCACCGTGCTGTTGTACGGAGGCAGGGCAGCCCCATGGGGAGGAGGAGGAGGAGGAGGAGGAGGAGGAAGGAGAAGGGTGGCATCAGGGGTGGCACCTCGAGGTGTCCCCAGGCATTGAGGAAATGGCCGTGAATCCATGAATCCAGCTGCGAGGGGCAGGAAACCTCTGCTTCCTCCTGCAGCACACGTGTGCATACCGGAGAGCTGCAGCCATCCCCCCAAAAACACGGTGCTGTGCGCTCAGGGCTCACTGTGTTGCTCAGGGATGCTGGGATGGGGTCCTAGAGCCAAAAGGGGACAGCTCACGGGTCCCCCACCATTCTCTCCTGCTGGGTCTTGCAGAAGCCCCAGTGCACCCCGAAATGCTGCAGTGCGTGGCCCCGTTTGGAGCTGGCTGTGCTCCCAGCGCCCGTCCTGCGCTCGGTTGAGCAAGAGCCCAGCGGATCCAGGAAACGCAGCGGCAAATAAATACTAAAAGCGTTGAAACGGGGCCATGCAGGGAGGCTGCCAGGGCTTGGGGGTTAACTCCTTCCCATCCCCACCTCCCTGAGATGGGACTGCGGATCTGAGGGCAGAGAGATGTCAGGATGCATCCCTGCTGTCCTCCAGTGCCCCGTGTTCAGCCCTGGGGACAGTTCATCTTGATGGCCCTGAGTGCAAACTGGTGTCAACAAATGCCCTGCATCCAGCCTTGGGGGTGGGTCAGCCTGATGTCCCCACCTTTCCCAGTGTCCTCAATGCCCCATATCTATCCCCAGGGACAGGTCACCCCGGTGCCACACAGTGCCCCAATCTGTGGGCTGCCCCCAGTGCTGTGGGAGAGGAGCAAACCCCAGGATGGGGTCCTTGGATCCTGCCTCAGGAGCAGCTGTACGGTAGGACAGTGATACCCAGGCAGGGGGGATGCACAGTGCTGTGGGGCAGGATGGGCACAGCTTTATGGCAGCACTTCTGTCTCTCTGTGGGGCCCGCACAGCACTGGGGCCACCCGTGTGGCTGTGCCTCAGTTTCCCTTTGGCAGCCAGGCCGGGTTGGAGCCGTTCCCCCGCATGCAGGAATGCAGACCCAGCCCCACGGGGAGGCCGGGGCCGGGGGCGGTGGGTGGGGAGCAGGAGAGCAGTGTGTGCGAGTCCAGCTCGGTGCTTCCATGCAGGATGGTGCTGAGAACTGTGGCACTGGCACTGCATGCCTGCCTCCTGGCCGCCCTCCACCCCAGCGACCCCAACGTCTGCAGCTACTGGGAGAGGTAGGAGCTGTGCTGGGGGCACCGGGTTGGGGGCACCCGTGGGACCACCCACCACCCCGCACCCTCTTCCCCAACAGCTTTACAGCAGCGGTGAAGGAATCGTATGCCAAACCCCACGTTTTGACCTCCACTGAGCCCTGCACTGGGACACCAGGACTGCCACAGCCCTGCCCGCAGCAAAGGTGAGGGCTGAGCCAAAACCCCAGCCCAGCCCCCCCCCCCCCCCCCCCCCCACCCCATCCCACTGCATGGATCATCCTGGTGCCCAGCGCAATGCCCTCCCGCCCTGCTGCAGGGCTGTCCTGTGCCCAATGCGATGCTGTCCCATACATACATCTAATGGGGGCTGTCCCACTGGCTGGTGCCCTATGGCTGAGGGGGGAGGGTTTACATAGGGCCGTCCCCCCGCACCTCATCCTCATGGCTCTGCTTTTGGCACAGGGTCGTGTACCGCACGGAGTACCGACAGGCGGTGCGCACCGACTACCGCCGGCGCTACCAGTGCTGTCTGGGCTACTATGAGAACAGGGACGCCTGCGTCCGTGAGTGGGATGGGTGGGGGGCGAGGGGGGGGGGGGGTCTTGGGCTGTCCTCTGCTCACCTCCCAGCTGTGTGCCTGCAGCGCGCTGCACCCAGGAGTGCGTCCACGGGCGGTGTGTGGCCCCTGAGCGTTGCCAGTGTGAGCCAGGCTGGAGGGGACACGACTGCTCCAGCAGTGAGTGGGGAGGGGGCACAGGGACCCCTGGGTTGGGGGATGGAGTGGGGTTTTGCAGGGGTCTGCGGTGAGAGATGTTCTGGGGGTGAACAGGGAAAGGGAAAAGAATGAGATGAGATGGGGATGGGGATGGAGTGGGAGTTGGGGATGGGGACAGTGATAGGGATGCTGCAGTGAGGTGTCCTGGGGGTGAACAGGGAAAGGTAAAGGAAAGAGATGAGATGGGGATGGGGTTGGAGTTGGGGATGGGATGGGGACAGCGATGGGGATGGGGATGGATGGAGTTGGGGATGGAGATGGGCTGGGGCTGGGCAGGAGGGGAGCTCGGGACGGAGGTGGTGATGGAGATGATGTGACTAGGGCTGGACCCTGGGACACAGCAGTGTTCTCACCCATGCAGAGTGTGATGAGCACTCGTGGGGCCAGGACTGCGAGCACCGCTGTGACTGCCACCATGGGGCCCCCTGCGATCCCCTGAGCGGGGTCTGTGCCTGCCCCCCTGGTTTCACCCCCCCGCTGTGCCACAAGCCCTGCCCATCCGGCTCCTACGGCCCTGACTGTCGCCTGCACTGCCCATGCCACCATGAGGCCCTCTGCAACACCTCCACTGGTGCCTGCCTCTGCCCCCCAGGGCTTGCTGGCCCACTGTGAGTGAGGGTCCCTGTGGTGCCCGGAGGGGAGGGGGTCCTGTCTGCTCACTGCTCACTTTCCCCGCAGCTGTGAGGTGCTGTGCCCCAAGGGGACACCGTGCGTCACCCACTGCCCCTGCCAAAATGGGGGTATCTGCCACCCCCCCCGGCTCCAGCACCTGCGTCTGCCCCCATGGATGGATGGTAGGTGGGATGTGCCCCCTCTTCCCCACGCTGTGGGGTCCCCCCCAGCCCCGCTGACCGCAGCACTCTGTGGCAGGGGGACATCTGCTCCATACCGTGCCCTCCCGGACGCTTTGGACCCGGCTGCCAGGGGGAGTGCCGCTGCCACAACAGGGGGCGCTGTGACCCCCTGGGGGGGCAGTGCCGGTGTGCACCCGGCTTCACCGGAGAGCAGTGAGTGGGGATGGGGCACGGGAGGCAGGGGGCTGGGGGAGATGTGGATTGAGGCACAGGGAGGCATGGGAATGAGGAAGGGGGGACATTGGCTGGAGGCACACAGGAATGGGGATGTGGGTGAGGTGGGGATGGGGATGGGGCGCACAGGGGGGAAGGGGTGCCAGCAGCAGATGCAGGTGGGTACACAGGGCTGGGACACACAGGGCAACCAAGCCCTGGTGCTGCCAGACCAGGACCTGGATGCAGCCTGGCATGCAATGAGCTGCATGGTCTCAGCTTGGAACAGAAAGGGAGGGTCTGGGTGCTACCTTGAGGTTGTGTCACCCTCTGTGTCTCCATACAGGTGCCGGGAGAGGTGCCCGGTGGGGAGGTATGGGCAGGACTGCCAGGAGAGCTGTGACTGTGCCAACGGAGGACAGTGCTTCCACGTGGACGGCGCGTGCCTGTGCGAGGCCGGCTTTCAGGGCAGCCGCTGTGAGGAGCCCCGCTGCCTTCCTGGTCTCTATGGCATCCACTGCCAAAGCCACTGCCTCTGTCACCCCCAGCACAGCCAGAGGTAGGCGATGTACCCTCCCTTTGTCCCCCGCATCATTCGCAGAGCCATCTCCCAGTGCACCCAGCGCCTGGACTGGGAGCTCTGGGCACTGAGTGGGTGCCCCCAGCTGCCACCCGCTGCTCGGCGAATGCTCGTGTCGCCCTGGCTGGGCTGGGCTCTTCTGCAACGAGAGCTGCCCCCCCGGCTCCTTTGGGGCTGGATGCCTGCAGCTCTGCCTCTGCCTCAATGGGGGCACCTGCGATGGGACCACCGGGCGCTGCCACTGCCCTCCTGGTTACACGGTGAGTCCCTGAGCTGCCCCTGCTGCAGGGATATGGGGAGCAGTAGTGCAGGACACAAGGATCAGAGAATCCTTGGGAGGACACCTTCTGGATGGGCTTGGGTTCTGGTTATCCCTGGGGGCAGTTTGGGGTCCAGGTGTCCTTGGGGCTTAGCATGGAAGGCCCATCTAGGATCAGGGTGGGTCCCCTGGGAGGTCAAGATTTTGGGGCTACTCCTCTGCCTCCAGCATCACTGCGCCAAGGGGAGGGAGGGGCTGGTTTGTGGCCTCTCAGCCCTGTGTGCAGAGAGATGCTGCCATCTCACAGTCCCCCCACATTCTTCCCCTCCCCCCAGGATGAGCACTGCTCCTCCCTGTGCCCCTTGGACACCTTTGGGCTGAACTGCTCGGAACGCTGCTCCTGCCAGCACGGCGTTGCGTGCTCCCCCATCGATGGCTCCTGCATCTGCAAGGAAGGGGGGCACACAGCTGGGGGGGGGGGGGCCAGGGACAGCTGGAGTGATGTGTGTCCATCCCCATTCCCATGCCCACCCCAACACCCTCTCGCTCTGCAGGCTGGCACGGACCTGACTGCTCCACACCGTGTCCTGATGGCACCTGGGGCCCTGGATGCAATGGGAGCTGCGACTGTGCCCACGGGGCCACTTGCAGTGCCCAGAGTGGGGTCTGCAGCTGCACCCCGGGATGGCACGGCCCCCGCTGCCACCAGCCCTGCCCGGTGAGTGTCCCCCTACAGCACCAGAACGCAGTGCCACCGCCTCCAGCACCACCATCCCCAGTGCCACCATCCTCAGTGCCACCATTCCTGGCACCACCTTCCCCAGTGCCACCCTTCCCAATGTCGACCTCATCCCTGAACCCCAGAATGGGACATTCGGTGCCGGCTGCGGGCAGCGCTGTGAGTGCACCAACGCGGATGGCTGTGACCCCATCACTGGAGAGTGCCACTGCCTGCCTGGGTGGACAGGTGAGGGAGCCGGGGTGGCGATACCCCACTGTGCCCTGCCCCTGTCCTTCACTGCTCTTGCTGCCCATAGGGTTGCAGTGCAAGCAGAGCTGCCCGCAGGGCTCCTGGGGCCGAGGCTGCCGCCAGCCCTGCATGTGCCGCAACGGAGCGTCGTGCTCTCCTGAGGACGGATCCTGCACCTGCACCCCAGGCTTCCGTGGCCCCACATGCCAGCGCCGTGAGTGCCCCACGGGGGGGGTTCTCCTCATCCCTCGAACCCCATAGGGCTGAGGCCGGGTGCACTCATCTCACAGCAGCCCTGTGCCCACAGAGTGCCCTCCTGGCCGCTATGGAAAGAGGTGTGCACTGAGCTGCTCCTGTGCCAACGGTTCCTCCTGCCACCATGCCACCGGTGCTTGCCTCTGTGCTGCAGGCTGGAGCGGCCCCCATTGCTCCCAGCGTGGGTATGGGGACGTGGGGACAAGGGTGAGGGCTGGTGCCAGGGGGCTGATCATCTCCTTGCCCCACCACCAGCCTGCACACCCGGCTCCTGGGGGGACGCCTGCTCCCAGCGTTGCCAGTGCCACAACAGGGGGACGTGTGACCCGGTTGAGGGGACATGCCACTGCCCCGCAGGATGGACAGGAACCAGCTGTGAAGAAGGTACAGGACCCCCATCCCCAGCTGAGGCTCTGTGCACCCCCAGGGTGCAGCCCTGGGGGAGTGATTTGGGGCTGCTGTCTGAGCAGTATGGAGCTATACGGAGCCACCTACCCTCTGTACCCCTGCAGAGTGCCCCCCTGGGACCTTCGGATTGCAGTGTGACCAGCTATGCCACTGTCCCCACAACGCCACCTGCCACCCCGTGAGCGGGACGTGCCCGTGTGCCCCAGGCAGGAGCGGACCCCACTGTGAGGCTGGTGAGCAGGCATGGAGAAGGTTGGGGACAAAATGGTGGGGACCAGCTCCCCACCTGTTCTAAGGACTGTCCCTACATCCTCTACATCTACAGAGAACCCCGATCAGCCCTACACCATCGTGCCGGCCCCACCGTTGGCCTACAGCACACTGGGGATGGTGGTCAGCCTGGTGGCCCTGGTGGCTCTGCTGGTGGCCGTGGTGGCTGTGGCACTGTGCTACCGCCACCGGCAGAAGGGAAAGGAGAACAGGCACCTGGCCGTGGCGTACACAGCAGGACGGATGGACACCTCTGAGTACGTGGTGCCAGGTGAGCAGCACGCTGGGACGCGGCTCCAGGCCCCCCCGGCACCAGCACTGATGTCTGTCCCCCAGATGTGCCACCGAACCACACGCACTACTACTCCAACCCCAGCTACCACACGCTGTCCCAGTGCACGCTGCCTGCCCCCGGCAGCCAGGACAGAGCCAGCTCCCTAAAGGTATGGCAAAGCACAGTGACACGGTGCAGCGTGGCACGGCACGATGCCATGGTGCGGTGTGGCACGTCGTGGTGCACAGCTTTGCACAGTGCACCGAGGCACAGGGCAGCATGTTCCATCGTGCTGCATGACAGCAACAGCAGAAGAACGGTGCAGCACGGTGTTGCACAGTGCAGTGTGGCACGGCACGGCATGGGGAGCTCTGCAGCTACGCTGTCTCTTGTTTTGGCTGCAGGTCCCCAGCTCTCAGCCCTTCTCCGGTGCAGAGAGGCCTTATGGCCCTGATGGCAATGCTACCCTTCCCCCCGACTGGAAGCACCTAGGAGCACCACCACAGGGACCCAGGGGTAAGAGGGGGCAGCTCTTGGGAAGGTGGCAGCCCTGCATTTGAGGGAGTGCTTTAGGAGGTGGAGAAGACCAACAGGATCCCTTCCCCTGACTCTCATGATGCTTGGTTTCCAGGCGGGGGGCAGATGGAGCGGAGCTACAGCTACAGCTACACCTGCAGCCTGGGGAAGTACTACAGCACGGGTACCAATGGGACTGGGAATGGGGATGGGATGGAGCAGGGATGGGATGGAGAGGGGAAGGTGGACGGGATCTGAATAGGACCCATGTGGGCACGGCCGCTCTCTGTATATTGGTGATGGGGATCCCTCTGCCTCCCCCACAGAGCACCCCCAGGAGGGGCTGAGGGCCAGCGGCAGCTCTCTAGCCAGTGAGAACCCCTATGCCACCATCAAGGACGTGCCATCGCCGCTGGCCAAGGCCCCCGAGGGCAGCTACATGGAGATGAAGTCCCCGGTGCAGCGAGAGATGTCCTACGCAGAGATTGGGCTCCTGGAGGAGCCTGACAGCAACGAGGAAGGTACGCCCGGGGGTTGGGGGTTTTGTCGGGGGGCGGGGGTCATCCTGATGGACAGCCCTGTGGACAGGAGACTCTCATCTCCTCCCATCGTTCTCCTCCCTACAGAGAGCAGCCCGGGGGGGGGCAGAGTGCGCAGCTCCAGCCCGGGACATTCCCAGCCACTACGATTCGCCAAAGAACAGCCACATCCCCAGCCACTACGACGTGCCCCCCGTCCGTCACCCGCCGTCCCCTCCTCTCCGCAGGAAGGATCGCTGAAGCCCCCCCCTCCCTCCCGCCTTCACATCGCGACACGTGGACAGGAAACGCTGCCCTGCAGCGGGGAACCGACGCGCCGGGGCCCACCCGGGAGGGGGCCGGGCTGGGTCCCCCCCCCCCCCCCCCCCCATAAAGGGTCTGCCCTGTCGCCGCTGCTGTCCCGCAGCCCTCGGGGCATTGCTGTCAATAAAGCCGGGTTGGTTGTGGGAGCGGCGTCTTCAGGAGTTGTGTCCTTGGGAGGAGGGCGGTGAGGGGCACGGAGCAGCGCTGGCCCCGGGATGGCGGCGGCACGAAAGCCAGGAAGGAACCCGCGGAGAGCAAAGCGCGGCCATAGAGACCGCGTGGGGGGGGGGGGGGGGTAGGAGGAGGGAGGGAGCGAAGCTTCGACGGCCCAAAGGCGGATTGAAAGCGTGCGCTCTGATTGGTCCGATGGCGGCGGTGGGCGGGGCCAAGAGGTGTTGCCACTGACTCACCCAGCGATGGTACGAAAAACGGAGGCGAAAGGCACGCGGTGATTGGCTGGAACGGTGACAGTTTGCGCCCATCGATTGGCTCAGAAATGGACCAATGGGGCTTCAGCAGCGGCGCACCGCCTGTAAAAGCGCGAGGACGGAGGCAGCCGCTCCCCGTTCGCTCTCGGCGTTCCGGGCTGCTGGTGGTGCTTCGTCTTCTGCTTCTCGTCTACGTCGACCGCGGAGCCGCGTTCAGGTGGTGAGGTGGGTCCGGACCGGGACCTTCAGCCCCTTATGGTGCCACCGTAGGAGCCCGCACGGTTCCCGCCCTCCCTGAAACCTCTCCACGTTGAGGATCTTTGTAGCATCCTCTGGTTCAGTGGTAACTGTGACAACCACCCACCCCCCTCCACCGTGCCCAGGTGTACAGTGGTGAAGGGAGTGTATTGCCTGGTGTTACGCTCTCCCAGTGAATGCAGAGATGGAGAGTGAGCAGAGAGCTGAGCAAGGTGCTGGTAAGGCTGAGCCTGGTGAAATGGGGGGTGGGGGCTGAAGGGATCCCCCCTCCCACCCCGTGTTTCTTTTCAGAGCAGTACCAGTGCTGTGGGCTCCTGCAGCAAGACCTGACAGAGCTCTGTGCCTGGGCTGGCATCACTTCCATCCCCAGGGTCACTGTGCGGCCTTCCTGTGCAGCAAGTGAGGGAATGGGGGTGGCTGGGGGGCAGGGAGGGAGAGATTTGGTTCTTCAGACGCTGCTTCACCCACAGCTGAGGGTGCAGAGCCTTGCAGACTGGGAGAGCGCTGCATCCAAGTAGAGCTGCAGAATGACAATGACCCCCGGAGCGTCTGTGGGGTTTTCTTGCGAGGTGGGGAAACAGCACTGGAGAGGAGTGAACCATGCCAGTCCTCCCCCTGCCACCCCCAGTCCCTTGGGTGGCTGAAGCCACAGTTAGACACTTTTCCCTCATTCCATCTCACATCCTGCAGGCTGGAAAGTGGATGAAGAGATGCTGGGTGTGCTCAGCAAGTGCCTGCCTGCCCTGGGCAGCCTGAAGACCCTAAAGTGAGCATGGGGGGAGGAGCTGTGGGTGGTCCACAGGCAGTGCTCAGTGATGGGGACAGCAGAGTGATGCCATCTGTCCCTGCAGCCTCTGGAGCACTGGGCTGACTGATCACATACTGCCTGTTCTAGGCACGATGGTGGCAAGGTGCCCCCGGCTCTGGTAGGTGAGGTGGGAGGGGGAGCTGGAGTTCTTGATGTCATTAACTGAGATGGTCTTGGTGCTGTTTTACCCCACAGGTCGCTCACCCTGGAGGGCAACCCTTTGCCAGAGCACTCCTTCCACGTGCTGATGGGGGCCAGCAGCACGTGAGTGCCAGGCTCATCCCTTGGCACAGAGCTCAGATCCCCAGCTACGGAGTGACCCCCAATGTCTCCCAATTTCCTCAACCCCAGGCTGTCCCATCTGTCTCTGCGCAACAACTGCATTGATGACAGGGCTGCACAACTTCTGGGACAGGGCCTCTCCAGCATGAGCTCCTCCAACCACAGCCTGCTGTCGCTGGTCCTCAGCTTCAACCGCATCTCTGACGTGGGCGCAGAGCACATTGCTGAGGTGGGGGCAAGAGGGCCATGGGGGAGCTGAATGCTGCCTGTGCCCCCTCCCATCACCTTTCTCATCCCCTCCGCTCCAGGGGCTGCGCTGGAACCGCTCACTGCTCTCCCTGTCCCTGGCCCACAACCGCATTGGGGATGCAGGGGCAGTGAAGCTGGCAGAGGTGCTGCAGCCCTTCAAGTTGAGGCACGAGGAGGTGGTGGAGCGGAGGAGGCTGCAGATGGAGGAGCAGGGCCAGCCCCGTGCAGTGAGCTTTGGATGTGGGGTGGGTGGGAGCTTTGCCTTTTGGGGGCCATATCTCTGAGCGAATTTCTTTTTATATCCCCAAGCAGGCTGAGTCCAGCAGTGGGCATGCCCTGAGCCTGCAGGTCAGTGCGGCAGCAGGCAAGCTGTCTGCAACCAAACAGCGCACAGGCACAACCAAAAAGAAGGTGAGGAGGCAGGCAGTCAACGTGGGGTCTTTGGGTACTTCTCCTGGGGGTGTCTGGGGGTGGGTGGTGCTGTAGCTGTGCCTGAGTTTCCCCATTTCCCTGTACTGGGTGGAGTGCTGCCCAAGGAGTGAAGTGGGGGTGAGCTTGCTGGCCTTTGCAGGAGCTGCTGAGGAAGGACAAGAGCAAGCAGAGCAAGAAGTGTGAGTGAAGGTGCTGGGGGGCATGCGGGGGGAGCTGCTCCTGACTCAGCTGCTCTCATTCTGCTCTTCCTGCAGCTACTGCCCCTTCAGACTCCCGACCCGGCCGCAGCCGTGGTGCAAAGGGTGCCATCGAGGAGCAGCAGGACACTGAAGTGAGCAGCACAGTGGGATTCGGCAGGGTTTGCACTCCCTGCTGTGGCCCCTGCATCCTCAGGACCTCTCCCAATGCCCCCAGGCAGAGGATCTAGCTGAGCCCAGCCACCCACTGCTGGAGCCAGGCTTGCACTGCGGTGGGAATGTCATCCTGCCTGGGAACCGGGTGCTGCTTAACCTCAACCTGTCCTGTGAGTGGGGGGCTGGGGGGGGCTGGCTACAGCACGGCCCCATCCCCATGCTCGTGTCCTCCCCCTCACAGACAACCGCATCACAGAGCGAGGCCTGGGCGCATTGCTGGCTGCGGTGGAGGGGCAGGAGCAGCAGGAGGGAGCTGGGGGGAGACAGGGGCTGCGATGCCTCTCGCTGAATGTAAGCTGGGCTCGGTGGGGGGGTTGCTGGCAAGGCACGGCCTTATTCCCTGTGCCCCTCTCTTAGAGGAACAACTTCTCCAGTGCCTGTGCTGCCTTTACCCGGCTCCAGAAGCTGCTGCTGCAGCGGGACCCCCTCCCCAAGCTTGTGGAGGGTGAGGAAGAGCACAGCCAGGATCCCTGAGCACCCTTAGAAGCAGCGCTTTTCTGGGCTTTTCTTAATAAATTTATTTTTTAATTTTTGTTTTCCTTGGGGGGGGGGGAGGGAAGGAAACTGCTGATAGGAGCAGCGCGAATCCCAGGAAGGAACGCGGGGAGAAACCAGCGCGGCCGGAGGTTGGCATAGAAACCGCGTTGGGGGGGGGGGGGGGAGGGGGGGGGCAAGGATCGGCTCTTCGGCGGTCTAGAGGCGGATCCAAAGCGCGCGAGGTGATTGGCTGGGAATGGCAAAGGCTTGTGCCAGCGATTGGCCCAGAAATGGACCAATGGGGCTTCAGCAGCGGCGCAGCGATTGGTGCTGCCGTGAGCCCCCGGGGCCCTATAAAAAGGGCGCGGACGGAACCTGCAGCGACCCCTAACGGTTCGGAGTGAGCGCTGCCCTGACCGCGCCTTCCGAGTGACGCCGCGTCCCTTTCGGGTCCGTCCCGCTCCTTCCCGCTTCGTCCAACTGTCTAATTACTGACTCCTCTAATTATTGACCCCACCTCGCGCGTTGTCATGGGAGGTGCAGGAACTCTCAGCCCCTGTGGGACCTCCCTAGGAGCCTCAATAGTTCTCCCCTCCACCCCATAAGGACCTCTATAGCATCCATAGCCTTGGGACCCCCGTGGCTTCTTCCAGCTCAGCAGGTAACTGAGACACCTCCCCAGCTGCCAGCACAGGGCGGTGGAGGGAGCAAACCCCCAGCCTGGGGGGCAGGAGGAGGAGCACAGCCTGGATCCATGAGCCCCACGTGTGCCTGCGGGTGAAGAACAGCCATATTTCTGGGCTTTTCTTTTAAAAAATAACGACAACAATAAATTTCTTTACCGTGGAAAGGAAGAAAATAAAACAGATTATACAGCATCAAACAGCAACCAGTCAGTCTTGGCTCTATTATATATATTATATATATCAGACACCCCAGCGCCGGCCTCGCCTCTACGCGTGGGATGGGCGGATGCTGCCCTTCGCCCCAGCCATGGGGACAACGCTGTCCCCAATGGGGGTGACACGGGGGGGGGAGGACAGGGGGGGTTATTTACACGATGGGTGCACATACGTACATATTTATAGTCAGCGGGGGGCCGCAGCACGGAGAGGAACGAAACAAAGTGCATTTATACAGACTAGATCCAGCGCTCGCGGCCAGGGGTGCAGGGAGCCAGGCTGGGGCTGCCATGCAGGGTGGGGGAGGGGGGGGGGGGTCCCAGGGGTCCCACGCTCCCTCCTTCCAAGAGGAGCCCCCCCTGCCCCCTGGGGTGAGGCTGGCACTGCTCCCAGCCCACAGGAGGTTGGGGGGGGGTTGGTGGGCAGCTCCCCAGCTTTGAGTGATTGTGGAGGGGAGACCCCCCCACCCCGCTCCGTGGCTAAAGGTCGGCTGTGTGCGCAGGGTCTTCGGCCAAGGGGGCTCTGCAGCCTGGAGGAGAGGAGATAAGGGGGGTGTGAGGGGGGAGGAGTTGGAGTCAGGGGGTGCGTGAAGGTTTCTCTCCGACCCCAACCGTTCTAAGGGGATGATTAGGAAGTGGGAGAAAGGGGTGAGGAGGATGGGGAGGAGATACTGAAGGGGGACAGAGAGAACAGGGCAAGAAGGGTAAGTGAGGAGGATGGCAAAAAGTGGGGCCCTGAGGGGGATGGGGAGATGGAGACCCGAGGGAAAGGAGATGGGGTGCAGCCACTCACCTGGGATGTTGGTGCTGTGGCCCTGCAGGCTCCGCAGGGAGCGGGTCAGGGGGCTGTCAGCCTCGGGGCTGTGGGGCCGCTGGGTCCATCCCTCCATCCCAGGGGCCGGGAGCCCCACAGGGGTGGTGTCTGCAGATGAGCTGTGTCCCAGGGACCGCAGCAGCTCCCGGTGGGCAGCTTCCACAGCCTGGGGAGGCACCGAGGGGAAAGGGCATGACGTCAGGGTGGGGAGGGCACAGGTTTGAGGTTTCCCCCTCGACTGGGGCTCACCTTCAGCCTGTTGAGTTTCAGTGTCAGCTGCTCGATGGTGCGGAAGATGAGGTCGACATCATGGAGGGGGCCAGGTGGGTCTGGGGGACACTCAGCAGTGCTGGGCCGGGGGGGTTCCTCAGCTTGGATGGCCTGGGGGGGTCCTGGAGGTGGTGCAGGCTCAGGGGGCCCGGCGGGCATGCTAACATAGAAGTAATTACCTGCAAGGGAGGGGAGGAGCAGTGTTAGTGTGGTGGGGGGCATCAGGGCTGTGGTGGCATTCCGTGTCCTCAGCTGTGGGGACAGCCCTCGGGGAGACATGACCCCCTCCCATCCCTCCCCAAGGATACAGCACCCCCCAGGGACACGTGTCCCCCTGGAGGACATGGCTGCTTTCAAGGGACAGGAGGGCATAATGGGGAAACACAGCTCTGGGGACTCAAGGACACCCCCCAGGAAGGGATGGGGGTCTCTTTACCATCTACATTAGCTCCGCCTCCTTCCTGCAGCTCAGTTTCTGATTGGCTGCTGCCTGGCGAGGGCGTGGCCTCCTGAGCACCCTCCGCTGGGGCTGTGCACCCCAAAAAGAGAGGGGGGAGGGAGAAGGAGGGGGTGAGCTGGCCCCGCCACCAGCACCCACCACCAGCACCAATCAGCATCCCATCACCAGCACCCGTATACCAGCATAGCATCAGTCAGCATCCCAGCATCAGTCAGCATCCCAACACCAATTAGCACTTCAGCACCAGTATCCGTCAGCTCCCCACCACTAGCACCCAAATACCAGCACCCCAGCATCAGTTAGCATCCCACCACCAGCACCCATCAGAGCCCACCACCAGCACCCCAGCTTTGATCCACCAAAGCTCATGCAGAGAGACCCCAAATCCCAGCGAGGGGAGAGAAAGGAACAGTCCCCAGGTGTCCCCATCCATGCCTGGTTTGGGGCTGGCAGCTCTCCATACCTTTCCGGACCACCTTGTAGCTGCTCTGCTCCTCAGCAGACGCTGTTGGACCCGTTTCACTCTGCTCCTCCCACCCCAATCGGGGCTTTGGCTCCTCGGCAGCACTGGGGGGCTCAGCCAGCACCTCCTGGGAGGCTGAATCCTGACTGGAAAGCACTGAGTCCCAGGTGTGGGTACCCCCGATGACCGACGGCGTGGGTGTCAGGTCATCCTCAGGCTCTGTGTCACGACTGGGCAGGAGCCGCCGCAGGATCAGCAGCCGCAGGTTCTCCACTGGGATGGGGGGGAAAATAGGGTTGGGGGAGTTTTTGACATCACAAATGTCCTCCTATGCCTCTCCAATCCCTCTGAGCACCGCTCACCATCCTCCAGGGCTGCCTCGGCCAACCCCTCGGCCGGGCTGGGAACTGGCAGTGCCAGGCGCATGGAGGGCTCCGGGAGAGCATCAGACACCTCTGTATGCAGGGATCCAGCAGGCAGCTCTTCCTCCTCCACCTCGCTGCTTTCTGGCTCCTCCAGCAGCACCGAAGGCTGCTCCCTGCCCAGCAGCTCCGTGGGATTGTCATCTGCTGCAGGGAGAAGGGAGAGCTCAGGGTTGTGTCCCAACCCCAGGGACGGATGGATAACTGAGCACGGGGAATCACCTGAGGAGCTCTCCTCCACTTCTGCTGCAGAGCTGCTGACTTGGGACAGGATGGGGGAGACATCAGGGTCCTGCAACACCAGGCTGCAGGATGGAGAGGGGTTAGACTGGAGGATGGCAGTGCTAAGGGGCCAGGAGCCCTGGGAGCTGCCTCTGGGTCTCCAGCAAGTAGCTCCTGCAGCAGGGAGAACTCATGTCTCCAGCCCCACCAGCTGGAGACACTCATCAGTGCCACCCAGGCTCCAGCTGGGAGCACCCAGTGAAGCCACGCTGCTCACCTTGAAGGTGCCATGCGGGTGGGCTCTGGCATCTGGCGCTTTGGGGGGAAGGTGGCATTCCTCATGGCACTCTGCACCGCCTCCTCTAGCACCTCCATCCACCTGGCCGGCCCAGAGCACCGTCAGCTCCTGGGGGGGTCACACTGGGGAGCCCCCTCCCCACCACACACTTCCCATGGCACCAGCACCCCTTTAGCCCTTACGTGTTCTTCTCGGAGGATGTCAGTGCCACCAGCTCATAGATCTGGGGTCCCAGCTCCGACGTGCAGATGATGAAGAAGGCTCGTTTATCTGCACAGGGGACAGAGCAATGGAGAAGGTCAGGGTACAGCAAAGAACACGCTCAGAGGACAGGTTCCCTGCCACCCCCCGCGTCCTGCTGTCCCCTCACTACCTGTGGCCACAGAGCGGATGAGCACTGAGTTGAGCTTGAGGACGGGGCTGAAGGTCTGCTTGTTGTCCAAGGAGCCCAGAGCTGTCTTGCCGTGGCACTTGAGCACCAGCTTCTCATCTTGTTTCTGTAGCAGCACCAGGAGGTCCTCGAGGAGCAGCACGTGCAGATCTGGAGTGGAGAGCAGAGAGAAGAGGCTCAGGGTTGTGCTCACAGCCTAGGAAGGATGGCCCTGAGGACACGACGCTTTCAGCTGGCACAGCCTCAGAGGGTCCTCAGAATGCCACCAGGGCTGGCCCACATCCTGCAGGACCCGAGGAGAGGTCCATACCCACGGTCTTGTCCTTGCTGATACGCCAGGTGAGCGGCCCTTCGTGGATCATGCGCCGAGAGGTGAGGTCCAGGCTCTGTAGCAGGGAGAGGGCAGCAGTGAATGTGCTGGCACTGGGCCCCCCCCCCCCCCCCCCCCGCCCCGGCCCCCAGGAGCTGGGATCACCTTGAATTCAGCTGCCAGCGGGTTGCTGGTCCTCTCCAGTGAGGTGGCATCCAGGCGTTTCTGGTAGCCTTCCAGCCGATGTCGGTTTTCTGCCTGCTTCACCGCTTCATTCACATACTTGAGGATGTCCCGGCACTGGTCTCGGGCCCGGCACAGTTTGTCGTGCTCCAAGGTGCCCGCTGGAGCAGGGTGAGGGTCAGGGGGAGCAAGTGCTGCCCCGTGTAGCTGAGCAGCACTCACACCCATGGCTGCATCCCGAGCCCACATGGAGCCAGCCCAGAGCTGATGGAGGGGAGGAGTCCCCCCCAGCACCCACCCATCCTGGCTGGACAGCA